TGGGGTGAGCCCCTGTGGGGGATTGGGGTGAGCCCAGTGGGATTGAGGTGAATCCCAGCAGGATTGGGGTGACCCCAGCAGGATTGGGGTGAGCTCCATGGGATGGGGGTGAGTCCCAGAGGGATTAGGGTGAGCTCCAGTGGGATTGGGGTGACCCCCAGTGGGGAATTGGGGTGAGCTCCATGGGATTGTGGTGAATTCCAGCAGGACTGGGGTGGCCCCAAGCAGGATTGGGGTGACCCCCAGTGGGATTGAAGTGACCCCCAGTGGGATGAGGGTCCCTGCAGAGCAGGGAGCTCCGAGGGGGACACACACCCACCCTGTCTCCTTTGGGGCCGGTGTCTCCTTTAGGACCCTGTGGAGCAGAGACAGAACAGGTTAGAAAAGGATGGCTCCATATACGGGGGTGGGATTATGGTGAAATCTGGGGGGGCTGCATTTTGGGGGGGCCCTTACCTCTACTCCAGCATTTTCTGGGTAGGCAGGGGAGGCTGTGGGGGGAAAAAGGGGGTTCAGAGCAGCTCAGCATCACCCACCCCACACCCAGACACCCGGGTGGGGGGGACACCGAGCCGGCCGCTCCCCGAGGGGACAGGACCCCGCTGTGGGAGAGATGTCGCGATACCGTCGGTGTCGGGACAGATGGGGCAGCACTCTCCGAAGGGGATCTCGGCGTTGGGGCAGTCGGAGGTGTCCTCGCAGATCACCTCGTCGCACAGGATGTTGCCGCTGTCGCAGACGCAGATCTGGCACGGTTCTGGTTTCCACACGTCCTTGTCGTTGTACGTGAGCCCATCCTGGATGCAGCTCCCGGTTTGGACTGCGACGGGACGGGAAGCGTCAGGAGGGGCGGCCCGGAGCTCCCCCCGCTCCCCTCACCCCCTCCCCGCTCCCGCAGCGCTTCTCCCTTCATCTGGTTCTCATCAGCGCGCCGGGTGACACAGGAAAAGCTCCACAATAAACTCTTCCCACATCGGCTGGAATTTAAACAAAAAATCCCCGCAGCCGCTCGCTAGGGCCGGCCGGGCCAAGGCAAACACCCCCCGNGGATGGACCGGGACGGCCTCTCTCGCCGGGAAGACCACGAGGACCCTGGGGAGGGGACAAGGACACGTTCAGGACACGCTCAGGACACGTTTGTGTCACCTGCATGGACACTTCCCCCTTCCTGAGCCTCCTCCCATCCCACTGCTGCCCACTGTGATGTTCCCAAGGGGTTCAACCTTTCCCTCCCCATTCCCTGTGGATCCCTGAGGAGGAGCTGGGTCCCCATCAGGTGTCACCCCCATCCTTGTCCCCTCTTGGCCAGAACCCCCTCACCCCCTGGTACAGCACTCACCATCTGCCCAGGAGCTCCGTTCTCTCCAGGGCTGCCGGGCTCTCCCTAGGAAGGAAGGAAGGAAGGAAGGACACCATGAGGGAGCTGCTCTGCAGGGACAGGGGACACGGTGACATTGCCAGGACAGCGGTGACGCTGCCACCACTCCTCACCTTGGGGCCAGCAGGTCCAGGCTCACCCTTGGCACCATCCAGACCACTGAAACCCTGAGGGGCAGCACAGAGAAGGGGTGGGGGGTCAGGAGGGGACCCTGGTTGGGGTCAGGGGTCCTTTGTCCCCTGAGTGTCACCAGCAGGGGGAGGGGACTCACTCTGTGTCCCTTCATGCCTGGCAGGCCGGCGGTTCCGGGCAGACCTCGAGCACCCTGGGGGAGATGGGAAGTGGTGATGGAGGCGCTGGGGGTGCTGTCCCCACGCCACAGTGCCCTGTGGGGGACACCTGAGGGTGTCCCTGTATGTCTCACCTGGGGGCCGGGGGGACCCCGCTCTCCGGGGCGGCCAGGCTTGCCAGCTTCACCCTGAGGACAAGGACACGGCCTTGGTGGCACGTCCCCAAGCCAGGCAGCTCCTGCTCACCTGGGGGGAGGATGGCAGGGCCACCAAAGTGGGGGGGACCCCAAGGACAGGACACTTACGTCATCTCCGTTCTTGCCAGGGGGGCCAGCGGGACCTCGGGGGCCCATGGGACCCTAGGAGAGAGGGAGGGCAGGGGTGAGGTGACAGTTGCCCCCTGTCACCCTGTCACCCACCCCGGGCAGTGCCAGCACCACTGCCATGGACCCCAGAGCAGAGACAGTGTCCCCACAGCCAGGGCTGGCAGTGTCCCCATCCCCGGGGGACATCAGCAGGTGACAGCACTCACAGAAGCACCAGGCTCTCCAGGTTCACCAGGGGGACCTTGGAAACCTTGAGGACCCTGTGGATTAAAAATAAAGGGTGAAAAAATGGGTCAGAAAGTGAGGAGTTTGGGCCTGGATCCCCCAGTGGCAGCGGTGATGTCCCCCCGCGTGGTGGCACCAGGGCTGTGTCCCCACGCTCTTCTGTGGCTGTCAGGAAGGGTGTGACACCCTCTGACCTGTCCCCCCACCACCCAGAGGCGCCCTGGGGGCTGTTTGTCCCCAAACCCAAATGGAAGGAAGAGGTGACACTCACGGGAGCACCGGGAGGGCCGGGGAGACCACGGGGACCAGCTGGGCCCTGGGGAGAAGAGAAAGTGTCAGCAGTGGT